AAAGCAGCCAGTATGAGACTAGTATTTCAGCTATCATGCAAAATACCAAGCTAAATTACACCTTTCATTCCCATTAGAGCATAAAATCAGATATCACATAATTACACTAATCACCATTGAGTCCTACCTACTTAAATGAAAGACGTGATGAGAAGACTATGCATGGCTTGCTGAGGATAAGAATCACAGGGTAACATGTGTTATCTAATCCTACAGACGAATCAAGGCCAGAATCAATTTCAGTTTTCTTCTTTGGGCACACTCAATGTAGGCAGCTAATAAAGTCAATTATCCAGAGTTTCTTACTAAGATTTCTTCACAGCCATGACCAGGCTAAGGTGATAAATCTATCTACTTGAAAACTGTGCAAGAAAACATTAATCGTATGCTTCTTTAGAGTAGTGTATTATCCAGTAACTTATTAGTATTATGTTACTGAAAATACTCAACCCACAAGGAAATGCAAATTGTGGTGGCTTTAATAGCTGACAAGTTTTCATCCAGAGTGTAAAAACAGTCGAAAATAACAAATTCAAATTCGTTAGGTTATCTAGAGATTAGAGAAATACAGATTATGCAAAAGCACATCATACTCCAGAAACCATCAGAGAGAAATAGTTATTTAGTGGACAAATCAACGAAAGCCGATAACAACTTCATACTGAAATTTGAAGATCTTTCTAAGTGACAGATGCCAACACTGCTTAATTTATAGGAATTTAAGTTCTTTTCCCGGGCCAATATTTAATATTGGTTTTTACTGCTAATTCCCACGATAACCATTTAAGTTTAGATCTCAGAACAAGTATGATGGTTCTTAAACTTTTCCAATATATCCAACACAATCAAGTGACATCCAAATTTGCTAGAATAATCTGTATCAAGATGTTACCCTTTATTCGAAAATCTACTCTCACTTTGCTATCGTAAAGAATAAATTAATTTCACCAAGTTTTACCATACAGGTATTCACATATTCTTGAACAATATTGACACAGCAAAATTCACATAAATGGCATATGTCAATGCAAAAACACAGTTCCACAATCTTTAACACTTTTCTTTCGCTTTTCCTCTCCCGAGTGTATTTTTTTTCCTCAACCTCAATACCGAATTGAAAGTCAGTCCATTTGATGCTCGACAAGACCCCATTGGGGGACAACCTGCGGTATTTTTTACTCAATCGTATGTTACATTTTGTGGTAGAGAATAAGAAATCTAGGGTTGAAAATGTGAAGGTTGCAAATTATACTGTTTCAAGGAGATTGAGAAATAGCCATGCAGGCCGTAAGTCCGTAACTTTTTACAACTTCAGCAGCTAATGTTGGCAATTACAGTTGTATCAGAAGGTTAATCTAAACAACACAATTAGTCAATTACTCCTATCTTTCTGACCCCCTACCAAATAAACCTGACATTTATTTTAATTTACTTTAGATTCTTACTCTATATAACATACATGACGGCCAACCATACACTTTTTCAAACTACATAGGTCAGAATCCAGATACATTACCTGGTTCAAAAAGTTGATAGATTCTTTAGCAACATCTCGAAATCTGTCATCATCAAACCATCCAAATTTGGCAAGTCGACATAAAAGCTGAATTAAAGATCCAATGACATAGGGCTGCAACTCAGGACCTCTGTTTGCCAGATAGTTCATAAGGTAATTTCCTTCATAGAAAGGGACACAAAATGAATTCAAGAACACTAAATGATTCATGATCATGCTAAAGAAATGTAATAATCAAACAGACTTCAATCGAAATACATATTCTGGATATACATGGGACAAATATTATAAAATTTTGGCAAAGGTTGTGCTTATGCTTATGATGGCAACCAAAAACTCCAACACCTAAATAAATAAAGACAGCGCAATAATACAAATCCTAGAAGTTTGACGTTAACATGCACAACCCAAACTGTAAGCTTAACAATATTTACGGATATCAAGGCGTAGCTGCAACGAGAGACTGTGGTCAGTCACTTGCTTCAACAAGCTTGAGCTTGCCAGCATCAAAGCATAAGGGGTCAAAGCATTATCCAGTATATACTGACACTGAGAAATGTAATCAATATTTGTTGAAAAGCATTTCAGAGTGTTCTCAGCATGTGTCCGTTCTGCTGAGTCTTGCGAATTGTAAAGTCTTTCACACAACACTTCCAGCTGAGCTAAGCTCTCCATTACACTTAATCCAGACAGTAATGCACTCCTTCAATGTGATCGAGGACCTGCACTCATCCAATCCAATCTCAGTCTACAAAAAATTCCACATATGGAAAATGTGTCAAATCATACGATTGAGTCAGTGGGTGGATGGTTGAAAGATGACAAATATTCCTCAACAATCGCAAAACAAAAGGCACACTTCTCAATGTACAATACACAATGGAAGCAAAACGTAGAGTAACTCATGCCGACACTTAAGTGAGTTCAAGAAAATGGCACAGCAAAAATATTCTCATATAGAAAGATCAAACCACAGTTGCTGTGACATTGTACCCTTCTTATCAAATGGTGTACCTTGCAGACTAAATTGTCTTAGCATGCACAATCTGATGGAAAAAAATAACAAGCCACATAACTTATTCAAATTCAATTGTTACATATGTCTTCATTGTAACAAATGATACAAAACAAAAGAGAAGGAAAATGGCTTCTCTCCCTTGACAAATTCCCCTATAGAAAATGGAAAAGGAAAATCTAACAAAATAAACGATACAACTATCATAGAAATAGAGCTCCAGAAAATCAACCATTAGCTGTTCAGCATCAAACCCTGACAACAAAAATAAGAAAAAAAGAAAAAAAAAAAAGAACAATTAACAATACTGATAAACATTCACGCTTCATCTATATTCACTCTCCGATAACAACAAGCTATATACACATAAACCAAAAAGTACTCACAGAAGGACTTCGAAGTTAACAACGCGCCCTAAATGGGTAATATTGTAATATTAATATAAGAACTGATTTGCGATCGAAAGAGAACTATAATTCTACGAGAGGGAGAAGCATATGAGTACGCAGATATGAAGTCAAAAGGCAGGTTTATAGGGTATCCTATATCGCTCCAATTTTCCTAATGTCTCTTTTTACTATTTACCGACCCTGGTCAAATTTGCCTTTCTCATAACTTACAAAGTTTTTAAAAAAACTTGCCACCGCCACTTTGCCACCTCGCCGCACTTTAAAAAAATGGAACATCTCGAGGCAAGGAATTCATGATTCGTTCAGTATATTTTTTTTTTATTTGTAAATAATTTTTAAAAAATTTCAAAGTTTCTGTGTGGTCGGCCGCCCGCCGCCCGCTAAGATATGGGTCGGTCAGCGATGGCACGGCCGGTTTCGAGCCTCCAACAAAACCGTAAGCGGCCAGCATCTGTGGACGGCCGCCATCAGTGGCCAGCCACGCCGTAATCCGCTGCCACCAGCGGCCGGCCTCTTCCAAGGCGGCCATTTTCACCGTTCGGCACTGCGCTTAGCGGCCGGTTGTCGGCCGACCAATTTATTTTCTGTTTAATATTTGAAATTATTTAAATATGTTTAAATATTTAAAAATAGAGTTGACTTAATTTTATTATTTAGGTTAATTTAGATAAATCCGTGTTCAGTAGTTATTAATAANAATATTATATTTTTACTACCGATTTTTTTTTTTTCCCAACGGCATAAGATCTCCATAAATAAAAACACCCATAAAATGGTAATGTACATAGGGGAAAACCCCTTCCTGGGTAACTGAGAGGAATGCTTACCAAGCACCCTAAACAAAATCAACCAAACATAGAAGTTAACTAAGACAACATCATAGCTTATCATCAAATACAGACTCGCAAGAAACAGACAGTAACACATGAAAACTATAACAGAAACCTCACTGCTAAAACACAGAATAAGTAAGAAAAGAGACGGGTAAAACCACTGACACTGGACCTAGCTTAACGCCCTCAGATCTCACTTAAACTTTAGAGTTGAATGCTGTGAAGTCGAGCCAATCCTTCATTGCCGCCTTCATAATTCTCACTTCCGGCTGCCTTTGTCCTTCAAAAATCCAAATGTTTCGAGCTTTCCAGAGCCACCACAGAATGTATGTGGATAGTTGGATCCTCTCTTCTGAAATGTCCTTTGCATCCATGGTACTGATCCACCACCACCACTCCTTGAAACTGATTTGCTCCTGGTGAACTCTATTCCATTGTACTGGGGCTATCTGCCAATCCTGCATTGCTCTGGCACATTGGAACAGGACATGGTCTTGGGTTTCTTCAGCCTCCCCACACACTTTACAGACTGTGTCAATATCAATGCCTCTGGCTTTTAGATTGCAAGTAACAGGCAGGATATTTGAATAACACTTCCATATGAATTGTTTTACTTTGCCCATCACATTAAGTTGCCAGCATCTGGTTCTTGCTTTCTTACTTCCTCCTGCCACCCAGCTGCTTTCTGCCACCTCAATGCTATTTAACTTCTCAGACATCATCAAGGTGTATGCTTTTTTGACAGAGAACTTACCTTTGTCCACATATGGCCACTTCCACATGTCAGCAGCTCTGGGATTTAGGGATTGGATCTGTAGAATCTTGTGAGCATCGTCCTCATTAAATAGAGCAGTGACTAAATTTGTATCCCATGCACATCCACCTGCAGTCAACAGATCCTTCACCCAAAACATATCCCCATCAATTTGCACCCTAAGTTCAGGTTTGCCTCTACTAAGACCAGGGACCCAGTTCCAATCATTGAGTTTTGTGGCTGCTCCATTTTTTATAATGACAGTTAAGTGTGATTTCAGCAGTGGTAATAATGAAGCCCAAGACTTCCATAACCATGACTCACCACTAGACTTTTGCCAGTCAAAGATGGAGCCAGTAGCAAAATACTTACCCCTGAGGACTTTGCACACCAGCAGCTCAGGCTGTGTTATGAGCCTCCAAAGTTGTTTGAGGATTAGAGCTTTGTTGAACATCTTGAGGTCTCGAAAACCAAGTCCACCCTCTTCTTTTGGCACAACCATTTTTTCCCAAGTCTTCCAATGCAGTCCAGTAGAGTGCACATCTCCTTTAGCCCACCAGAATTTTGCCATAAGCCTGCATATTTCCTTACACAGCCCAAGTGGTAAGATAAAACAAGACATAACAAATGTGGGGAGTGCTTGTACTACTGCTTTGACCAGGACCTCCTTGCCTGCCGTGGAGAGAAAATTATTCTTCCAGCTTTCAATTCTATTCTTCATTGAGTCAACAATAAACTGAAAAGCATCTTTCTTTGAGGCCCCTATGCCTAGAGGCAGCCCAAGGTACCTGGAAGATCTTTTCACTACCACTCCCCTCAAAACAACCCCAATATGATCGGTCAACTCTGCTCCACAATTTCTACTAAAAAACATTAAGATTTGTACAAATTCACCCTCTGCCCTGAGAACAACTGGTATTTTTGCAGGATGGTCATCAACAGAGTGGCATGAGAGACAGCAGCCTTGCAAAAGACTAATGCATCATCGGCAAACAGTAAATGAGATACTTCAGGCCCGTTCTTAGACACCTTGATCCCCCTGAAATGACCTGCACTAACATGGTGTTGAATGACAGATGACAGGACTTCAGAAACCAATATAAATAGATATGGTGACAAGGGGTCACCCTGCCTGATTCCTCTTGAAGCTTTCACAAAACCACATATAGAGCCATTGAGGTTAAAAGAGAAGGTAGGTGAGGAGATGCAGCTGTAAATCCAATTAACAAACTTCCCATGATACCCCATTCTAGTCATAGTCTTCCTAATGCAATCTCATTCCACTCTATCATAAGCCTTCTCCATGTCCAATTTAATAGCCATGAAAGAATTAGGGCCAGACCTATGTCTATGAAGGAAATGAAATACTTCATCTGCAATAACAGCATTGTCAATCAAGTGTCTTCCAGGAACAAAAGCAGTTTGGCTATTACTGATGCAAAATGTAAGACAACCCTTAAATCTATCAGCCAGTACCTTTGCTATAATTTTGTAAAGAACTTCACACAAAGCAATAGGTCTATAGTTACTAAGAGATTCAGGATACAAATACTTTGGAATTAATGTTATGACTGTGTGGTTCCAATTCTTAAGTAAATTCCCAGAAGTGAAAAAGCTTTTGATAGCACAGCACACATCAGTTTGAATAATATTCCAAAAATGTTGGAAGAAATAAGCTGACATACCATCTTCCCCATGGGCCTTCTCAGCTTCCATGTTGAACAGAGCTGCTTTAATTTCTTCATCAATCACTGGTTTGATCAGCTTACAGTTCATTGCATCAGATATAGTGTGGGGGACATGCTGGAGAATCTCCTCCCCTCCATTTGATCCTCAGATGTAAAGAGTGTGGAGTAAAACTCTGAAATGTGTTTATGGATATCCTCTTTAGTATCAAAGATTTGACCCCCATTTGCGATAAGCCTCTGGATTGAGTTATTCTTCCTTCTCTGAGAGGTATAAGCATGGAAGAACCTCGAATTACAGTCCCCCTGTTGGAGCCACAATGCCCTAGATTTCACTCTCCAGTATTCCTCCTCCTCTTTATGTGCACAGTCAAGTTCAGCTTTTAAGTGGCTCCACAGCTCCCAGTCTCTGTCTTGGCCTTCTGCTCTCATGTGTTCTATCTGGTCAGTGAGTACTTTCACCATTTTCTCACTATTTCTCTGAAGAGGTTTATGCCATGCTAACAGAGCCATTCTAGTGTTCTTGACTTTTTGTTGTAGCAAATTATTTTTATTTTACCGAGCACCGAATCGAATGATTCGTTTCCCGGGTCGATCTCTCGAGGAAGACGGTTCGGAATTTAGAAGTGGTATTGTTAACACATAAAAGCAAAATAAAATCCTAAACACTCTAATCAAGATAGGATTGGTTTTTTATTATCAACTAAAAAAATAACAAAAGACAATAATCTAAATATAAACAATAAAAAGATACACGAGCTAGGGTATCGGGAATAATCGCTTCCGGTTCTACACACATTTAACGGCAATCAATAACTCGGTTAAATGGTTCGACTAACTAACCCATTTAGCGGTTTAACCTCACTAACTCTCGTAATATGAGGATGAACATAAAAGAGCAAATTAACGAAACAATTAACACATAGACAATACGTCTCCGAACATGTCTACTCTTAACGAGCCAAATTCAACCAATTTCTCCCCTCTCGGTTTTAAAATTGATTAACTCTACGACTCCTCTCCTCTCGGTTCTAAAAGTCGATAATCAGGTAAAATTAACAAACTCTAACTCAACAAATTATTTACTCACAAATCAAAGTGTCACTCTTTGACTATATCAACAATTAACCTAAGTGTCACTCTTAGGTTATAATCATTTATCGAGTATGATTTTATCAATTCCAAATTAAAACAACTCGTCAAGATTGAGCTATCGTCATGCACGTAAACGAGAACAAACCGAAATGATTATCCCTTAACCCTAGCTAAGGAATTAGCTACTCATTGCAATTTGAACACAAGCATGCATATTTAACCAAGCCATAATCATCCTAAACTTAGTGAAAATAGAACTTACTTGTAATGTGAACTTCAATGTCGAGAACAAAATAAAAGTCAAATCCAAAATACAACAAGTCTCCAAAGTGTTCCTTATTACAACATAAACAAAAGAAAACTTAAGAGAGAAAATGAAGAAGATGAAGAATGGTGTAGAGGGGGGAGAACCCCCCTTGGTTCAAGGATGATGAATGGTTCCTAATGTAGTGGAATGGAAGGGAATAAATAGTAGTGTCTTCCCCCAACACCATAACTCATTTCAAGGTAAAAATCCTGGTTTTAGGCTTCCACTACCGAGCATGAAAGCATGAGCAAAACAAGCCATGTTTTGTGGGAAAAAGAAGAAATTCTTGTTTGCCAGCAGCTGCTAGCGCCGCTAGTGTAAAAAATGAGCTTCTGAAGCCCGCTAGCACACCCTAGCGCCGCTAGCTGGACTGGACCGCGCGACTTTACGTTTCTGGCTCGTTTGGGCTCGTCCGAACTCGGAATTGAGTTCCGTTTTTTCTTACGCGTCGCTAACGAACCCCTCTATTCAATAATGCTTGAATGGCCAAATTATTCTTGA